AGACTCACTTGAGCCCAGGAGTTGGAGGTTGCTGTGAGCTGTGATGCCACAGCACTCTACCCAGGGGGACAGCTTGAGGCTCTGTCTCAAAAAAATAAATAAATAAAAGGCTGGACATCTCAAAAAAAATAAAATAACTCAAGTGGAATGCAGCGCTTAAGCACTTAAAAGATATTATAAAGGCCAAACTTACAACAGAGGATTATCCTGAAGGGAGCAATCATAATATATACATAATTACAGAAGCTACACAGCTGTCAGTGAGTCTGGGAGAAGCACATTTCACTACAGATTACCGTGTAAGAATGTCCCAAGGGAGACGATTTTCCTTTATGTGCTTTCTAGATTTAAACAATTACTCCATTATAAAGCTTATCACCAAGAAACAAGTCCCTACTCATTCTCCTTCCTTCCTGCATTGCCTAAAGAAGATAAAACTCTATTAAGTGAAATTGGATATAAATAGCACAATTTATAAAGCTACAAAGGCAAAAGAAACCACAAAAGTAAGAAATATCAAAAATTTACTAACATTTATTGCAGAAGCCAAGCAATTACTACCAAGTATTCAAAGCTTAAATGATGGTACTAATTTGATTAAGAGTAGATTTTAGCATCTTAGAAAGAACAATTCAATAGAATAAACCACTCAAGAACCTATGAAACTAACTGGTATAAAAAAGGGAAAGGGAGGGTGGTCCCTGTGGCTCAAAAGGGTAGGGTGCTGGGGCCCCATATGCCAGAGGTGGTGGGTTCAAACCCAGCCCCAGCCAAAAAAGGGGGGGGAGGGGAAAAGGGAGCCTAAAGCATTCCTTTACAGTGTTTCCTAAATAGTTTAAATGTAACTCACTCTCACTTAGCTTTACTTTCTCTTATTAATGTTTCCATCTCACTTATCAATTCTCTACTGTTAACATCTAGAAAATAGAGAACTCCTATTCCTTACATTCTCAAACTATTAATAGACTAAACTTCAAAACACTTAGATTTTCATTATAAAGGAAATTATTTAGAAAAAATTTTTTTCAAGGAAATTATACATCACTTTATGAGAAGATAATATTTCCACTTAGAATTCAAACATCTTGCCAAAGCTCTTTACAAGTCTTTCAGGAGTAGTTAGGCAATGAAGAACAATGCAAAAGGTGGACAGATGTCACATAGTACTATCAGTTAACTGATTTAGCAGCTCCCTTTCCCAATAATAGACACAATGAAATTACCATGACTTCTGAAAAGAAAACATTTTTTATACAGAAATACCAAGGGTGGTTATTTCACAACATTTCCCTAAAATATGAGTTGGAATGAAGGTATTCACCTAAAAGGCTATTCAATCTCCTCTGGAGAATTTAAAGATATGGGTGTCTAGGACATTCTAAGGCAATACTTCTTTAGCCATGGCCCACAGTACAGCAATAATGAAGAAATACATTTTACATCAGAGTACACATAAACAAATCTAACTACAAATATCTGTGCATATGTACTAAGTTTTACAAAACAATACTTATTCTAATTAGGTTTTCTGTTCTTTACTAATTCTTTTCATTGTTTTAAACAGTAGTCATTAAACTGATTCATGTGAAAAGCTACAACTCATAGTCTTGAAAACACTGGTCTGAGGCCAGCCTTACACTGGAGTATCCCTATAAAGGCATCAGGACAGAGCCAAACCCTGTGCCTAGGACCCCTGGGATTCCTGGGTATGTTTCAGGAGCCATGTAGACAAGAGAGATAAGAAAGGCTCAGCACACTCAGACCCAGGCCCTGCCCCAAGTAAACCAAAGTTCCTCAGCAATTATCTGGGATTTCATGTAAGATTCATCCTAGAGACAGGAAGCAAAAAGTTTAAAAGAAATTAAAAGGTTTGAAAATCACTGAGTTAGATGACCTTTCAAGGATCCCTTTCTGGTGTGTAAGTCTGGAAATAAATATTTGTTCCAAACTATAGAATAAACCAAAAAAACCCCAAAAATCTACATATTACTATAGAATCAAAACCGTATTAGACCACAAAAACTTTTAATACTGATCATTTAAAGTTTTGTAATTTATAATGTTAGAATTTCTGAACATACTGTCTGACTAAAAGTGCTGAAGGCACCTCAGCCTCCCCTCAAATTCCCTCCCCATCCTCTAGAATAATGCCCCAAGACTTCTTCTGTACTAAAAGGAAGTTTTGTTCATGGTTCTTATTAACGAAACAATTTTATATTTGCTAAATATGACATAATACTAAGTAAACTCACTAAGCCACATGAATTACTAGGTCCCTTAGTGATCAATTTCAACAAAACAAAAACTCAGCAGCTTTTGTCACTCATAAAAACATGTATCTTCCCACTGGAATTACCTCCAGCCATAATATACCGAGTTGGATGCATAGCATTGATGGAACACACGGAGACAAGGCATTCTCCACCAAAAAAAGAATGTATCCCCTTTCCTGTCTCATGGAAAATTTCTACCCGTCGTGGATAGGCCATGCTGGCAATTATGAAACAATCTTCTTGTTTAGGGTCCCACACAGCTTGAAACCTGGTCAGCCATCGCCCAGTGATGGTGTTGTGCCTAGTGAAAAAAAAAAAAAACAGCATTTTTAAAGTAAGAGTTACATAATTCAAGGTAGCATTAATTGGGTGGAAGATAAGTAACCCTTATCCTAAATGCTGTTTTCTCTGTCAAGTTTCTTCTCATTAAGTTACAGAGTTACCACCAACCTTATCTCATCCTCCTTTAAAGACTGAAACTCTAGACACAGATGATGGTCCTCCTCATCTGTGAATCTCCAGCACTGAGCACAATGATTTGTGCTTAGTAGATGAAAACGGAAATGGTTTTTTTTTTTTTTTTGCTCACTTTTCCTAGTCCGATGGACAAGGAGAATTTTCTGTGGGAAATCTCCCTTTTTACAAAGCACATCTTAACAAAAGAAGTCCTAGAAGTAAATCTATAATCTTGGTTATTTTTTGATATTTTAAACCTCAAACCATTTTATATTCCATACAACTTTAAAATAAAAAACACATTTAGGCTCGGCGCCTGTGGCTCAAGCGGCTAAGGCGCCAGCCACATACACCTAAGGTG